ACATCACACCAGAAGTCATATTGGAGGTGACTGTAGTGAACAAATATTGAGTTTATGGTACAATTAATTGAATTGGGCAGAAAGAAAAGGGTTAAGAAAAAATGCTGTCAGGCGTCTCTTAGTAAAAATATTTTTTTGAACAATTCTTGATCACGTAGGAGAGACAGTCATGTTTTGGCAAATCTGAAGCTTTTCTCAGCCGCAGCTACTGTTTGCTTTCAAATGCTTTGTGTTTGAGATGTTTATTTAGAAAAAATTGCTATAAAATAGGGCAAGAGGGAAGAAAACCACAAAACCTCTAACATTAGTGTTGTATTTTTTATCCTAAATTATTTTGTTGGGAAATTTTTAGGCATTGCATGTATGAATACTGAATGTATACGGATATAAATCACTTAATAGTGTCTTATTTGTTGTAGACCTGCTCATGGAATTTCTTCCTCTACATATTGTAGTTATTCATAGCAGAAATGATGCATCCTAAAGAACAGAATTATTTGACATCAGTCTTCCTTTCTTTTGGCATTTTATTTGAAAGAGTAAATCTAGAAAAACATTTATTAAAGTATGTTTAAAAAGAGAAGAATATGTATTTACCTTGTCTGTGAGTTAAATTGGAATCTAGTACTTTCTACCTAATCATCAGGAGGTGCACATGTTAGGTTTTCTTTATTCCCCTGCCCCCTTACATATTTACCTATGGTACATAAACCATGTGAGGGAGAGGGGAAAAAGCTCACTTTGCTGGAGGAAGTCAATATATTAACATTGTTTATGTGGTATTACTGACAAAAGTATAATGAAAAATATAAAACTTAATTTATCATTATAATAGGCATGCAGGAAGGAGGTGTGTCACAATTTAAAGTAACTGAAATGCAGTGACAGTAGTGCAGTTTTATATAGACCTTTCTCTGAACACTCTTATCCTTTTAAATCTATATTAAAATTGTGAAATGGCCTAGAACTGAAATTTGAGGAACGCTAATTAGAATCAGCATGTCAATTCAGACATGAGAGGCAAAGGATCTGGAAATCTCTATGAATAGCTTGAGAGGAAGCTCTGCTCGGAGAGGTAAGATATGAAAAACGGAATAGAAGGTAATCTATTATATGCTGCCGTTCAAACCAGTGGTGATGATTGTTTGAATATCGCAATCTTTTCTGTCTCTTTCAGAAAAGATAAAGAAGACAATGATGAAAAATCTCCCTTTCTTGAGAATGGGGCCTTTTTTTTCGTAGTTCCAACGTTAATTGTGGAACTTGCCATCAAAGGTATGGGGGGTGATGGTAGGGTTGATTTGGGGTTTTACTAAATATAAAAGTGAATAATGTCATGCAGGCAAAAAGTTAGTCATTGATTTATAAAAATTTGGTATATGTTTATATTATAGACATTCTTACTGTTTTCTCCAGAATCTCTCTCAATGTTTATTGCTCACACATTATACTTAGTAGGTCACCCAGAAACAAGTATTTCAGTACTTGTATCTCTCTGTGTTGTTTGTTGAGCTGTTATTTCCCCTTCTAAGGAAGTGATGTGAAGTAATGGAATCTCTGCTGGTCTGGTAAGGTGGACAACAGATGGATTCATCAGTGGTCAAAAGTGTTTCTAGCTGCCTCTGGTGGTTTTGGCCTCTGCATTTCAATCCTCATGATTTCCCCTTCGTAAATCCATGCTGACCGCTCCCAGTCACCTTCTTGTCCTTCATGTGTTTGGAAGCTGTGTCCAGGATTATTTGTTCCACCTTCCCGGGGATCAGGGTGAGGCTAACAGGCCTGTAGTTGCCCAGATCCTCCTTCTTGTCCTTGAAAACAGGCTTGACAGTTGCTTTCTTGAGTCCTCTGGAACCTTGTCCATGAGCTTAAAACTTTGAAGCATAATTGAGAGTGGCCTCACAATGACAGCGCCAGCTCTCCCAGCACTCATGGTGACATCTCATCAGGTCCCATGGAAGTGTTATGTCCAGTTTGTTTAAAGGTTTCTTAATGTGATCCTCCCTCAGAGTAAATCTTTTTTTGCTCCAGACTTCCCTACTGGTCTCCAGGGCCTGCGATTTCAGAAGGGAGATCTTACCCACACAGAACAAGGTAAAGAAGGTGCTTTGATGTTTTTCGTATCTTTTTACCAGGTACCCCGCGCCATTCAGCAACAGGCCTGCATTTCCTGAGCCTTCCTTACACTGCTCATATACCTGTACAAGGTATCCTTTTGGCCTTCATATCCCTCACCAGATTCAAGTCCAGGTGGACTTCGGCTTCCCTAACCCCATCCCAGTACACCCAAGTGGTGTTTCTCTATCAGGTGTGTGCGCACACTTGATGTGCCCCACTTCACCTCTGGTTTTTTGATTGTAAGATCTCTATTGTCCATATCATTCTGCATCCTTGGCTTGCAAGCCCTGACCACTACTTCCTCACTCAATTGCAGGTCACCATCTCCCTCTCCCTTTGTTCCTATCTAAGCCTTCCTTTAGTAAATTGACCAGCCTGTTGGTGAAGATGCTCTTACCTCACATAGTGTCAGGTGGATCCTGCTCCCCTCCTCCCCCCCCAGTTCTTGATCCTCAAAGGTCCAATGAATGTAAAAGCTCAGTTCCAGCTTTTTAGACAAGCTGCACAACCAGTTGTCCTTGTTGATCTGTCTATACCTCCTCAACTCCTTCCCCTTCACCAGGAGGATGAGGGAGACACCACCTGGTCCCCAGGCCTTGGCCCTCATACTCCAAGCAATGTAGTTATGTTTCATATGCTCCTGGTCTCCCCTGACCATATCCATGGTGCCCATATGGAAGAGCAGCTGAGGGTAGTAGTCTGAGGGCCAGGCTGCCACCAGCCTGTGTAGTAGCCTATCCATGGTATTTAGGACCCAAGCTCCTGGCAAGCAGCAAACCTTGCCAGGTGACAGGTTGGGCCAGCAAAGGTACCTCTGTCCCTGCAGCAGGGAGTTTCCCAATACTGTTCCTTGCCCCATCCTGCCTGCACTGCCACAGGACTTGGGCACAGCCAGCTCGGAGGTTTCACTGGACAGAGCTCCTTGTCTGTACCTGCAGCCAGGGCTCAGAACCTGCTCTGTAAATCAGAGCTGCAAGTGGAGCAGGAGCCGTCCGCCTGGTGCTGAAGCTTGCAAGCTCTCAGGCTTCACCAGACTTGGCATCTCCATGCCCAGCTGAGAAGCTAAGGCTCTGCCTACGTCTCCTTTGTGCAGTGGGGCTTCCTGTAGCTGCAGGGTTTTGGCAGAGGTCTAGTCCATCTCCTTTTCATCATCCCTGATGTACAGTCTGCTCACCTCCTCCCACAGCTTGTCTGTTTGATGAGACAGATCCTCCATCAGTATACGCTTAGAAGGATAAAAATCAAAATGTTTTTAAATTCTAAAACCTGCTGGATGCCAAAGCTAATTTACCACAGAGGCACATTAAGAACTGGCAGATTCAGGAGTATAATACGTCATTTATATGTCTAGAGACTGTACATACATGTGTAGTCTGTTGTATACATGTTATCAATATACTATGGTGCATGCATGCTATATATAGTAAAATTAAAAAAGAACAGTAAATACAGGCCTAAAGAGTTTTTATCGTTATTAACTTAAAAACAGTTTTAAGGGCAGTGTGGCTGTATTCAGTATGCAACATGGGTTTATAAAACAAGTGTTAGCAAATTTTATGCATATTTAGGATAAAAATAAGCATTTAATACTCTGCTATACTTAAATGGGAACACTGTTGCACTAGAAGACAGCAAACAAAGGGTGATCATAAATAGCGCATTGCAGAAGTATGGAAAAAGGTCAGAGAGCTTATTTGGGTGTGATTTTGATTAGAGATCTAGAAAAAGACGACGACAAGATACTAATGAAATTTGTGGATAATATTAAGGAGTGAAGTTGTGAATGCAAGTGAGGATAGACAAACAAGAAACGAGTAAACAAAACCCCTGGAAACAGAGATGTCTGACTGATAATCAAGATTAAATTTCAGTGCAAGAAGTAGAAGCTGAAAGGAATGGAAGGAAATCCATCTGAAATGGACAAGTTCCCTGAAGCCCAGAAATCAAGGGAAACTAATGGGTAGGAGAGTAACTTGGGGTTTATGTGTATGTTGCAATATTAAGGTACTTAAGTGAAGGCAGCCTGACAAAGTAACAGTAGTAATCCTTCCCTTGAAGGTTCTGCTGAGTAGTGCTCTCAACTTCTAGTCCTGCGTTTTCATGAAGGTCTGTTTATGAAGCTCTGAAGTTCATACTGTAGGGCTTGGTGAGGCTTCTTCAGTCTAAAACAAAAAAGAACCCAGCACACTGTAAGAATGGAAACCTTGATGTTTTAAGTGTCATTAATGGTAAGAAAACTTAACCTCTTAATGGTCTACATGAAAGCTGTTAGGGTAATGTGATTCCTTTCTCTATTGGTTTGCTATAAATGGCATGAAGGAGGTTTTTTAAGCAGGGAAGAATGACAAATTCCTAGGGAAGCTTGTGAAAGTTTTAGCATACAAGCTTTTAAAAAATAATCTTGAAATGTAGTTGGGAGACTGCAATAGGTAGGTGGGGTGAAACCTTGTATAATATAAATAATTTCATGTATTTCTTATTTGCTTTGCAACCTGTTTATTTTGATGGGAGACTTCTTTAACGTTTATATCCTTTGCTGCTGCCAGCTGGCTGCCAGTTGCTTGCTTTACCTCTTACTTAACAGTTTTCCCAGGTAGTTGTTTTACTTGCATCTTGATGATAAAAGTTACTTTTTAGCAAGATATAACTAGTTAATGAAATCATAAGCTATTTCTTTGCCTGATACTTGAACAGTGTATGTGAAATGTCTGTAAGTTTTCATTTAATTCCTTAAATCAATAGCTGACAGCTTTTTTCCTATTTGAATGTATGTGGAATGTAGGTTCCATGATACTAGTTAGTTAATGTACTCTTTTTTTTTAATTATGTCTCTAGGATAATCTTTTCTCCCTGGGTCGTGACAGGTCGTTACCTGTGTATGTTCAATGGGACGACGAATTCACTTTGTGGTTGACCCTCAGGGTTGGTGCTGCATGGGCCTGATTATCTTTGTCTGGCTGTACAATACAATCTTCATTCCAAAAGTCATCCTTTTTCCTCACTATGAAGAGGGACATATTTCAGTTGTGGCAATTTTGTGTAAGTCAATTCAACTTAGCTCTTTTTTTCTACTAGTAAAAATAGTATCTTTGGGCAGTAGTTAACATATATGAGAAAGATCAGAAAATAAAGAAAAAGGTGAAGAATAAGATAAGGGATAAGAGTACTGGGATGCATCCTACGGTTTTGTGTTCTGAGAAGTTGAGACACTTCGTTAAGTTCAAAGGTGTTACATGAAACTTGTTTGTGTGGAAACTGGGGAAAAACATTAATACGGCTTTCAGATCCTGTAGCTAGAACTTGTTGACAAAATTTCAGACCCACAAATCTTAGTCCTTGTCAGGATTTGGGGTGCTAATACTGATGGTTGACAAACTGAGTTTCGTTAGTTTAGTCCTATGTCCCTTGATGGGTCAGCTGATATGAGTTATGCTAATAGGTTTTGCTGGTGAGAAGGCTTGAATGACAACTGGAACCAACTTTAAAGTTGGACTGTTGGGAATGTCCTTTCACATAGAGGCTTTGAGGTGTAGAATGATTTGGGCTTATTTGACAAGACAGCGGAGGAAATTACCAAATACAGTAGTAAGGTCATAGTGACATCCTGCTAGTGCTATCAAAACAGTGTTCACTGCTACCTTTTCCTCCTCCTTTTTAAGACTGGGGAGTACTTAATTTTGTAGACTGTATAGTACCAAAAATATATCTGGAACAGAATGAGAAGGCTGAGTAATTTCTAGCTCAGTGTTGGAGCACCTGTATTTTTGATGCACTGTATAGTAGATATTTTGTGCACCTGGAAAAAAATTAACAAATGCTTATTTATATTTTCAGGTTATTACTTCTGCTCATTCTTTTGTATAGCTTCATTACTAAGAGCCTCAGTAGCTGATCCAGGAAAGCTACCTGAAAACCCAAAGATACCAATTACAGGTACATTAAGTTGTTTTGATATAATTGAATAAAAGTTATTTTAATGTCCCCAAAAAATTAGGAGTCAATTTGATTTTGTGAGATTTGATGGAAACCAGGAGCTGTCTGTGCTGAAGTGTATACTGTTAATGAAATTAAAATCGGTATGTCACTGTTTTTAACTTGTAACTTTCTAGAACTTTCCCTTAGGTAGACTCAAAACTTCTTTTTCAAAACTTGTATTCCATCAGAAGTTATGTAGAAACTTCTGCTAGGAAGTTTTTCCCTGGGAAGAGTTTTTTGGCATTCTAGACTTTCAAACATACTGCATATACTTCTAACTTGATAATGTTTAATAAAAATTGTTTAGAGGTGGTTAGTCATTATTATTCTACAGGTTTCTTTCTGAGTAAATTTATAAGATGTTGAAAGTGGTGGTAGGAGGTACTATTATGCTTGTTTTACCTGTGCATTTTTTACAAATTTTTTTTTCAGTGAATTATGTTTGTATGGGCTGTTAACCAAGCAAATGTGATGCTAATTACATTGCATTGCTATAGAGTAGCAGCTTAATATGTTGAGAATTTCCTTCTGTCCTTGTGAATTCATCCCAGAATTACTGTGTGGTATCTGATGCTTCAAAAATGGGAGGAAATTTGAAACCTTAATAGTTCTCCACAGAGAAAGCCAGTATTTTTATGAACTGTTTGATGCTGTTAAGGTGCTTGTCTCATGCATAGAGATTTTACATAGCAGTTTAGAATGAAGTAGGCCTATTAAACAGCATGAACTTTGTCACGTTAACAGAAAGTACTTTTTGAATGTAGAAAATGCAGTAAGGGGTGAATATTTCAGTCTTGTCTTGCAACATGGTGGATGCCACAGCAACATTTTGCTCTCTCTTCCTGACCTTAGTGAGAATCGAGGATGATGTATTTGCAAACATGATCTGTTTAGCCTCAGCACTGATGTTACGATGTGCACAAACTAGGCAGCAGATAGTAGGAAGGGATCTGTCTCCCTGGGGTTCAGATGTGAAACACCGAAGAAGCAAATCTCATGTTGGTGTTCTTTCTGTTCCTGGTAACTGAGCCTTTGATCCAGTGAAAGGAAAGGTGGCTCAGGCTTGGATTCTGCAGTCACAAGTTCTTGCTGTGGGAAGAAGAGCGTGGATTCTGCAACCTGAGCTGGAGAATGGAGACGCTCAGTACAGTTACAATTACATTTATGACTGAATGTTCATTTACCTGCAAAATACCAGGACCAGTACAAACTCCCTTTGTGCACAAATGTTTCTTTCTCTTTTAAGGGATCCCTTCGAATGGCTTTCCAACTTCATGCTCCATTCATTTTATACGGCAGTGATACTTTATAAATACTTATGAAGGTGGAACACTTAGACTTGTCTGTGACAATGATACTATGATTTGATGTGTGCTGTATCAGGGGATTTGTACTTTCTAAAGGAGCACTTCAGTTCTCAGGTGTTCTCTAGGTTAACGGAAATATACTTTTTTGCATGGTATAAATTGTATTAAAAAATGAGGTTGGGGTGTTTCCGAACTCTGCTGGTAGCTACCCTATTAGGGAGTGACACCTTTGTGACACTGAATTTATGGGAACAGATTGTGGATCAGTTTCCATCTGGCATTATTACTAGTTTAAAAATGTCAGCTATTAGGCTTCTTTACTTCCAGTGTCCAAATGTTATTTTGCAGCAAGAAAGCCGAAATGAGAGTTGCCAGCAGGTGGCTCAGAAGTGCTAAATTTAGTTTTACTTCGTTTGCATAGGGACAATGCTTTATTGTATAAAGTTTCAGAATGCCCTAATGTAAAAGCTAAGTGTAATTTTTTTTTCCACTGGGATTTCAGAAATTTCCCTGCATCAAAAAAGTTCCATTTATGTAGAAACAGCCAATCAAAGTATGTAAGATTCTTAGTCATGCACCTATTTTCCTTAAAAACAGAAAGTACATGCTTTTGTGAATGGAAGTATTACAGTGTTGGTGTGATTTGTTTCCCATGTGAATATGAACTTTCTGTGTATATAATTTGAATTCTCATTTTCAAAGGCTTCCTCTAATTTGGGTGGTGCAATTTGAGATAAATAATAGCTAAGCTGAGCAGTAGTAGGTCCTGGCAGTTTCAGCTACTGAGTATCTCTGGAGATCAGCTTGAAGAATCTCACATTAGGCATCCAAATATAGTGTATATTTTAAAATATTGCCTTATGTGTAAAATTGCATTTGAGATGCATGTCTTAAAATGCTTTGAGATGGAAGACGCTCCTGAAGTGTTCATTGTGTATTTTATTTTAGTTAGCTAGCTTTGACAAATTCAGGTAGCAGTGTTTTCCCAGGAGCTTTTGGAATGACAGGGAGGTTGTACGATGGTTCCGTCTATTAGATATGTTTTTTTCACAGTAGACATGAAGAGAATAATTGAACTATATGACAGCTTTTGTGCTGTAATAATTACTCTCTAGAAATATGTAGGAAGAGAGAGTATTTTGGAGGTGAAAACTGGCACGGAGTGGCAGTAATATCTTCTGGTTTAAGGTGACGGAGGGGAGAGGAGTTTTTTTATATGCTGCTAACCCTTCCCAGATCATAGTAAGATTTTTTTTCTCTTTGAATCACTAGCATACAGATTTATCATGTGTGCTGTACTAGTTGAAATCTCTGTAATCTGTCTTTACATTTTCACCTAGAACGAGAATATTGGGAATTATGTAACAAATGCAATATGATGAGACCAAAGCGTTCACACCATTGCAGTCGTTGTGGACATTGTGTGAGGAGGATGGATCACCACTGCCCATGGTAAGACCAGGACATTTGTTCTAACCATCTATAGTTTTAGTGAATCATTTCAAAGTTCATGGTCTTGACCACTGCTCATTTGTCATATTTCTTTCCCCGTAGTGCTTAATCATTTAAATATCTAGAGCAGGGAAAGAACAGCTTTGAGACTTTCTTATGTCTACAAGTAAAACTGACAATAAGAACTGTTGCAGTGTAATATTTACTCATTGTCAAATTGTTATATGCCATATAGTTTTGGAAAATTCACATACTTTAAGAGAATTGGAATTTTTGCTAAAACTGATCTCAACAATTAATTTGTAAATTGTAGATTTATTTCATTTTTTGAAATTTAGTTTCTGATGCTGGAAAAAATATTTTTAGTGGGGAACTAAACTATTTATGTTTCTTGGATTGATATAAAACATTACAGTTTCAACATAGGAGGGGGTGCTCTTTATAATAATAAAAGTAGATCGTGTTTTTTAGGCAGTTTTTGGTTTTTAGTTTACTGAATGGCCATGCTGAGTAGAAAATGTTACTGACTTAGACCATACGCCACTTGTTATAGCCTTTCTGATTTTGTCGTGAAATTCCTTATTTTAGTGTTCTCTAACCAGTTTCAGTCAATATGAGCTAATCTGGCTAAAAAACTCTATTTAAGCTGATTGATTGTGGCTTAAAATGAAAATAAACGTTGTTGTCAGTAGTTCTGAGGTATCATTTCCAGCAAGACATCAGTGATGAACGGCAGAGGACAGAATTGACATCAGGATCCTCCTATGTTGATTTAGCCATTTTTCAAACTACCCTTTTTGTCAACTGCTACTTCAGAAAATAGTGCCAGTATAGTGCTTTTGTGATTATGGTTTAGCTTAGTACTGATGTCTGTGCCAATGTTTGTATGAAATTACACCCCAGCCATGTTTTTGCATCAATATAACTTCTGTGAAGCAGACTAGACCTAGATTTCAAAGATTTTGAATCTCATTCTTAATATTTCGAGAATCCTTGTGATTCGTTTACTCCTTTATATATGTATAAAGTATGCAGAAGGAGTTTCTGAATAGAGATGCCTGTTTTGTCTTCTATGTCTTAGGCTCCTTCCGAAGTCATGCTTATTTGTCATTGGGGTACCATGTGATCACATTTATTTCAAACCACTCATTTGCATTTCCAGTTTTTGGGCTCTACATAGTTCACAGTCAGTGAAATGTGTTGAGTAGCAGAAGATAATACATAGCACTGTGAAATTTTGCAGACTTTTAAAAAATAATTTTGTTACTCGAGTATTACTTAAAATTGTAGGACTGTCTTTGCTATATGAAGATACAGAGAAATGTCTCCTGTTCTCAGCAGTGATCTCAGTAATGCAGCCTACACTTTTAAGTGGCAGTGTAAGGAAACCACTCGTTACAGTAACTGCCATCTCTAGCACAGAGACCATCACTTTGATTAAGAATGGAGTGATTAGTCAGTAGTTTTTGTATTTGCTCCATAAATAACCATAAATTCTCTTATTCACAATATTGTAACTGCTGTGTTAAAGTCTGTATTTCTGTCTTTATATATATACTTTTTTTCTCTGCAGGATTAATAATTGTGTTGGTGAAGACAATCACTGGCTATTTTTACAGCTGTGTTTCTACACCCAGATCCTTAGTTCCTATACACTGATACTCGATTTCTGCCATTACTACTACTTTTTGCCTCTGAAAAAAGAAAACTGGGTAAGAATCTGTTTTCTCTACTAAGTGAATAAATAGCTACTACTGCAATGTAATTTATTTTGGTATCTAGTTATTACATGTTTCTGCTGGCTCACTTGTTGACAGTGAAGAGAGTTCATCTAGATGTATGTTACCAAGTAAGCAAACTGATTTATGGTAAGTAACAACATACCATTCTAAAAGGGTATGTGATTTCTATGTGTTACATACACAACATTAGTTTTCTTAGAAGTCTGGGAAAGGAGGACAGAAACAGTTAGGTTCCTTTGGATGTGATCAGTGAATACTGGGAAGAAGCAAGGTACCTACTTTAGGTGTATTCAAATTTCTTTTTACTTTCTTAAATTTATGCAGAGTATATTTTTTCTATCCTAAGTCCCTATTTAAAAATGCTGATATCGCCAGAAGAATGACAAAACACAAACAATCATTCTAGAAGGAAAAAAAGGAAAATTGAACATTTTGTGTTTCTTTGAAAAGCTCATGTGGGTTAAGGGAGAATTAAGTATGATTTGTTTTACTTGAACTCTATGCCATTATTGTATTTCAACATCTTGTCATCAGTGCAGTTGAACACACAGAGAAAATGGACTTACACATTGCAATAGAGTAAAAACTTACAGATTTTTTTTCCATTATGGAACTGAAGTTGTAAAGTCTTTGTGTAAGCAAAGGTACTGGTGCTCATTTGTGTCTATTATCTGTAATATTCAGAGTATTCAAGAAGTTTGCTTGAAAGTTGCTGAATGCTTGAAAGTGCTGTTGTATGCAAAGCTGATACTCTTTCGTTTTGAAGAAAATGTTAGATCTTGTTCATAAAGAAACGTAGAAACTTCTACCCAAAATCTGAAATGCACTTTGTACTGGACTAGAACAAATACAAGCACACTAAAGAGAAAAACCTGGAAAACAAGTTTAAAACATATTCAAAATTAGGTAACATTCCAGATGTGCTAAGTGAAGAGACTAAGACCATCACAGAAATTGGTAATGTGTTCTAAATTTTGTTGAGATTTTTTCCAAGTACTGAAGTGCTGCAGATTTTTTATTCCATGTTGATGTGACACCCCAGCATACTCTCTGCTGGTGATGTCACATGCATCTTTCAAGGCTGCAGGAGACTGGCCTTTGCTTATAGGTAAGGCAAGTCCTGTTTTCCATTTTGTTGAACAACTTAAGTTTGCTATATTATTTTGTATTCTAAATGATATAAAATAAGAATATTAAACTTCCTGAAAAACTGTACTTCTGATAAGAATGTGGCATAGCCTTATAAGGTTCTTACTTGGTCCCATATCAGTCTACAGTGGATGTCATGTTCCCAGGAAAGCATATGTGAAGATGGTGTGTCAAAGTAAAGCTGAAAGTATAGGAAAACTGTACTCCTTGGATCATCCAGAACTGATAAAATGTTATATTCAAGTTAATAGATACCAACTTTTTATTATGTGGAATGTACCAAAGTTGAGAATTTTTGCAAATCTCTCTTAACTCCTATTCTAAAGGAATTAAATTTTTTATTTTTTTCATCTATATGAATATTTCCATTTAAATGCTTTAAGGGACTCCAGAACTATGGAAAGGAGAAGAATTTGCTGTCTGCTTGGAGCATCTTTCCATAGACGCTGTCTTGTAAACTGAGACAAACCTGTAAAATATGTCCCTCAAATTGAGTACTCATATTTTTCCCTCTGTTTCCAGTTTGTTGCAGATGGGCTTTTCATGTTCACCTTGGGTTTTTTTTAGGCATTGTGAGCTTTGAGGGAGCTGTTTCGATTTGTTGTATCTGCATTCAAGCTAAAAGGTTTAGGAAATTGCAGTCTTTCTGTATTAGCAAAGAAATCTGTTTAAGTAAAATTTCTTATGGATATGTTACATTTTGTGTTGTTGGAAAGTTAATGTTTTTGAAAGGTAACTAAATGTAAATACCTTTGCTTCTAGTTTCAGTAGCTTTGTAAACTTTGTAATTTACAAGCAAAGTTAACCAGCTACATTTCCAGAGTAATCTTATACTTTCGGTATTGCAAAACCTTCCAGTGCGCAGGGTTTGCAGGTTTCAAGTGCAAGGCAATGATATTGATCTTAATACAGAATTGGGTTTTGCAGTGCTTCTAGAATGAGTGTTATTTTCCAAAGACAAAATCTTTGTATGAAATTGGTGGTGCTTCTCTAACAGTGTAATTTCATGGTAGAATATTTCCTTTTTATTGTGAAAGTTCCATGAATGCTCTAACTTACTTTAAGTAGATACACTGTGTTTAGATGATGAACCCAAGTTCTGTTTGTTAGCCTTGCTTTTTAAAAGCAGGATGAAAGGGAACTAAAGTATTGGCTTGGAGATGGTCTGTGCAAGAGAGCAAAAGGGGAATCATGATTACTTCAGATAGTTTACAACCTCTAAAGAGGTAATAATAAATAGTTATTAATAATAACAGTTCAGAAAATGGATGTGTGTAAAACTTTTGTTCTTGATGGTTTAACTGGGTTAATTTCAGGTCTTTTGGAGAGAGGCCTGCTATCAATATCTACCCTCTAGAAGATGTGACAGGTTAGGAGGCAGAATACATATGCAATAATTATTTTAACCCAGTTTAATGTAGTTGCCTGAAGAGTGGATCAGGTTCCCATGTTTGGCTGCCTAAATTTACACAGAGTCATGGAGAAAACGGAGTACTCTGTTCAGTTTAGTTTTGTTCTGTTTTAGAGTGGGGTTTTTGGCTTTATCGATTTGCGTATGTGGATACTTCAAATGACACTCCTCCTTTTGAAAAAACTGGATCTGTGTTGTAGTGTATAACATCCTATGCCCCAGAGAGATAAATATGTTTACACTGTATAGAAAAAAATTAGTAGACAAGGCAAGTTGTGGTCTGTTCAGACCTTTGTTAAGTCTAGTATTACACTCAATAGTATTTAGCTTTCTCAGTTTTTCAGCTGCAGGATCATGGGGTGCATGCCGAAGTACAAAAAATAAAGAATAATTTGTTTGGCTTTCTAGTCAGTATATCTGCCTGGAAGATGACATCAGAGCCCCATTAAGGAGGTTTGTTTTTTTTTTAAAGTTTTGCTAAGGATATGATGCAGTATAACTTTGTGCCACGGAATAATTCGTCAGGATTATGTAATTTTAACATGAAATGAACAGGACCAGTGAGAAGATTTGCTTACTATTACTTAGGTTTTTAGGCAAACGTTGTGCAAGATTATTCTAGTCTTTGTGTATCAATTAAAGCTGAAGTAACGCAGCATTCCAGAGACCACATATCCTCTACTTTTCACAGAAGCGGTATTCTTTGTTGAAATTTTGGCTGTAACCAAGAGCTTACATTTTCTGAATTGACAGGGGCTGGTATTTAGCATGGATACAAAAAAACTGGATAATTTTTTCTAAATAGCCATCTGGAATTAGCTTACTTCCTGCTCATTAAAAATACTTGTGAATTTTTTGGCAGTCGGCCTTCATCTTAATTTTTATCCTTTGGATATAACATAGTACATAACACAGAAGCTGGAGAATTAAAATTGCTTTTAATACTGTTGTGAAATAATAATTTTATCACAGTACTGTTTAATGCATTATGAAAATATGATCACTGCATGCATGTTAGTATCTCCTTCTAAGTGAAAACTTGTGTTTTTATTTTTAACGGTTGAGTAAGGAAAAAACCAAACATTTTTAATTAAGTTTACTAAGGTAAGGCTGATAGCTTTAAAACTGATGAAGGAAGCTGGAATCTTTCAGCTTCAGGTGTCATAGCAGAAAATTGCTTCATAGCATTCTTGGCTCTTGTAATTGATACACTGGCAGAAAGATGGATTGTGGTTATTGCCTCTGTTTGTCCAGCAGGAGGAGTACAATTCCTGCTAGAAGTGAAGAAAATAAGAATTAAATTGTCTATGTGAGATCCTAACAGGAGAAAAAATACGTAATTCAAATAAAACAGTACATGAGTTCCTCTGCTAGCTTTGGTGATTTTCAGAGGCTAAGACTGGAACGTTCTTAATTTTGCACCTTCATTAAAAAACATCAAGGTCAGGAAGTCTGTATCTTTTATGAACTATTCAGTCTTGTGGGTAGTGAGATAAGAATAAATACAAGTCTTCTTGTGACTACATGGTTGCTCTCTACATGGCTGTGCTGGCACAGATTCTAGACACAGCTGGTCAAGTCGAAGCAAAAATAAATCCCTTGGCAGTATGTTTTGCTGAATTCATAGAAGGCTTTTAATCTTTTCAGCAAAATAAGTTTTGCTGATACATTCCGTTTGCTAGAAATGTTGCTGGAATGATTGTCATAGCAAAAAACTCTGACATATAAAAACTTAAACCCTTTTGCTCTGGTTTAGTTTTATTTTGTTTCTCATTCTTCAGTTAGCCATTGTATATTATGAAAATATTGTTACTTAACTAATTTTTAAAGTGTTCTGAGCTATATTGCTAGAGGCGGGAGGAAACATTGTGGAGAAAAAATTGTGGCAATACCAGTCTCTCTGTCTGGGACTCAGCTTTCCCAGTTCCAAATAAACAGTGTGGGGAAATATTCTCTGGACTTCATGAGACGATTATTTACAGTAATATTTATTTCAATATTATGTATTAACTAACATTAATTAAAATCTGGAAATATGTATCATCCAAAATCCATTTACATTTTGAAGAGAATTTAAAGGAAACCTTTTCTCTCAGGGTCATTAAATAACCTGCAGGATGTGAGAGTTTTTAAAGAAATTAAATTTTTTAAAAAATTTTTCTAAATCAAAATTTTCCTTCTCAGTGTTCTGCAAAAAACTAAACCTGCTCTCCTCCTAAAATAAAGACATATTTTAATATTGAATTAAGTTTAGAAAGTAAATACATGGTCTGTAGAGAAAAGATGGGAATGACTGAAAGGATAAAATTCTGTTAAAATTTAATATATTGATAATGTCATTTTTATGTGAAGATTGTATATCCTTTTCCTAAGTTCTGTTCTAGTCTGAAATTATTTCGGAATTATCACTTTGGATTGAACTCTGTGTATTGAATCATTTTTGGAATCAGGGTGCTATTCTTATTTTCACTTTAAACCAAATCAGTCGTGAATCAGGCTTTGGAAAATTGCTCATTTAGTAGACCTTGCTTTACATAAACATTGTTTGTTATTAATAATAAATATCTTTACAAAAGAGCTTATTAGAATGCAGCTCGTGTTCTGTGAATTAATTTTTTTGTTTTGTTAATGTGAGTGAATTTTCTCCCTTGTACCTCTCCCTCCTCTTTCTTCCTGCAAAACCTGCAGCCTGTGTTTTTTGTTTTGCTTTTTTGAATCCAACAGCCTGGCTTTGTTCTGTATTCTACACTGTTTTTATGATAGCCAAGTTGATAGACTGACTTCATCACCACACTGGGACAGACATCCCAGGCATTTGCAACTGAGAATAGACAAGCAGGTTAGCATGTGTTACATGAGATATCCTTTCCCCAAGAGAAAGATGAAGTATCTTAATGTATGTTCTTAGTATATTAATTTCTGTGTATATTATATTTCAGTAGAGAATCAAGATTGAATAAATTAATCTTGCATTGCAAATGAAAATTTATGAAGGTTTTTCACTTTGTCTCTTCTGGAACAGATACAATAGTCCTGTGGTGGTCCTGCT